TTGTTGTTTTCTGTTCGAGTCCTTTTCCAGATGTTATAGCCGCACCTGCTTAGAGGTTAGACAGCCAAACTGCCTGAAAAGTTTCTTTGACAAGGCTCCGTGGAGCTCTCTCACAAGCATCGCCTTTGTGAGACTTTGACACGGTACGGAAGCAGGCAGGCTCTGCCTCCGAAGGCAATCTCCTTGAAAGACAAGGTCAGTTCATTTCCTAATGATGCGGCAGGTACCTTCCGCGAACTTTTGTTTTTCCACAAGAAGAAGCACTCTGGCTTCAGTTCCTTGAAGACTTCGAGAAGCATAGCAGCTCAGAAGGCGCCTTCCGGCCTTGTAATATCTAGATGGCTTTGCTTGGGTTGCGCTTGCTGTGTACTTTGGTCATGTCAGCAGCATTTTCAAGCTAGCTCTTTTCAGATGCTCACGTCTGCATCATCCCCATGCAGCATTGGTAGTTGTCCAAGCGTGGCACCTGAGTTTGCAGTGCTGCCTCTGGACAAGTTCCCATATGCGTTGCTCCTGCAAAATCCCGGGGCGGGCCCTGCTTTGGCAGCCTTTCGGCTGTGGCTGCCGCTGCAAATGTGGTCCGGCAGGCAGTACGGCTCAAGACCCTGCTGGAATTTCGGCATTTCTTGGAGATCACAATACCATTTCAGGAAACCTCAAGATGCGGTACGAGGACTTCGTTGTGAGGGAGATCTCAAGGGAGGGCGAGGTAGTGGAATCCAATCCAGACAGCAGTCTGACGTCGGAGCTTGATTCACTGAGGGCCTCTACCGGCAAACATGCTCGACTAGTTCTTGCTAAGGAGAACAGAGATGTTTCAGACGCCGTAGCCATGCTGGCCAAGCATTTGCAAGTTGATGTACGCAAGGTCAGTTTTCACGGCTTGAAAGACCGCAGGGCCGTGACATATCAGCACATCAGCATTCCCTGGGCAGATCTTGATCGAGAACTCCTACTATCCTGCATGTCTGCAACTACGTGGGATCCTGCCGTGCACATCAGTGCCTTAACCAGGCAGGATTCTCACTGCCGCGTGGGATGGCTGCGTGGCAACGACTTTTGCATAGTCGTGCGAGATGCAAAGCTTGCACAGGGACGCAAGACGAGCATGCCTGGCGGCTCGTTTACAAAGTCATCTGCTGAAATGGCAGCTTTCCGGTCCTTGATCCAAGAGGGAGCCAACAGCCTTCGCAGCGTTGGCTTCGTGAACTACTTCGGTCGCCAGCGGTTTGGGCCCTTCACCTGCAGCCCAAAAATCGGCAGGGCAATGGCAAGCGGCCAACACGAGATGGCCTGTCATCAAATTGTATGCTCCATGCGTGAGGACCTCTGACAAGGGGTGAAGTTGTCATAAGATATTGTTGAGTGTATCAAAATGTAGCAGTCAATTCGCGGTGTTGCTTTCTTTTCGCGGGCCATCTGGCTAGGATCCGTCTGGTCGCTTCGAAGAGAAGTTCACGCGAGGGGAGTTTAGGGAGTTGTTAAAAGAGACGCCGGCACGCTGTGCGTTGGAGAGACGAGCCCCTTGCTGTTTGTTCTTTGTAGGATGTAGGGAACCAATCTGCAAACTTGCTTGCCAAAGCATTTATGCCATCTTCCTCCTACCTGCAGCAGTAGTTAGTAGCACCAGGTTCTTCGGCATCTCTGCTCTAATCCGGGAGACTACCGCGGCGCATTAGACGCGCTGCCACGCCGACAGCGCCTGCTCTTTGCACGCTCGTTTGCTTCGCTGCTTTGGAACCAGGCGGCTTCTTGAGTTCTAGGAATATCTAGGAAAAAGGTGAGGCAGACCTGCTATATCTCTAAACTCTCTTTGCCTTTGAAGTCAACTTCCAGTCTGTCCTGCGCAGGTGGTCTCGGCGCGGTTGGCAGCCTTTGGTAGAGAAGTATTTCCTGGAGATCTTGTGCTGACAAGCCATGGCAGAGGCGAGCCGCACAACTCGATGACGCATGTTCCCAAAGGAGCACGTCCAGATGTCTGCTTGCCAGATGTAAGAACAGTTCGCGCAGGAGAGGAACCCGACATACCTTTCAAGCATGTCGTTCTGCCAGTTCCAGGAAGCCACTGCAGATTCCCGCAGCACCTCCCCACGCGGAGGCTCTATGATGACGTGATGCAACATCACAATTTCCAAGCTGAAAAGTTTTCAGAGTCGCAACAATCCTACCTAGAAGGCGCGTACCGCCATATTGTGGCTGTACCTCTTTCATTTCATGCGCAGAGCGTGGCCTATGTTGAGCCTTGTAGCCGCTTGGTAGAATCGGCGTTGGACCGTATCAAGGGGCGCTTTGTGGAACCAGACTGTATCCTACATTTGGAGGATGCGGTTGGCGAGACGCAGTTAGAGCTTCGGACAGGAGTCATCGTGAAGCTTGCTTTGCGTCCGGGCCAGTATGCAACGGTAGCAATGCGTGAGTTCATGAAGGGACCTCCGCGCAACGAGTTCCACTCGGCTTGGTGATGGGCTGAATCGTTTCAGTTCTGGATTGGTAAGATGATGAGCTCAGCTGCAGGTTCATCCTGGTCTGCAATCCTACGCAGTATGAAAAGAGCGCTGCGCTCCCATGTCGTGTCTTCCGAGCCGCCCTTCAAAAGACCCCATCGATCTGTCTTGGTTGTTGTTTCCTTCAGAATACGAGTCCTTCAATACTGAACAACTGTTACAATGTTACAATGGCGCGGGCTTTAAAGAGCCGGAATTGGACTTCATCCATGAGGTGAGATGTAATTAGTTTATTTCCTGCACGAGAAAGACTTCAGACAGAAACTAAGAATCCGAGCTGCGAATCGCGGCACACTGAAGTCCCAACTTTGGAGGTCTGGTTTTGGTTTCTCACTTCGTGGCTTGCTTATGCTTGCTGGCAGGGCCGGATGAAGAGAAAGCCGACTTCGATGCATTCAACCCATTCGGGTCCCACTGGATCGTGAAACCCGGTCGTGGAGGAGGCGGCCGGGGAGTTCAGGCAACTCAACCTGGATTCATGTTCCATCCCGTTTTGCTGAATTGCCTGAGTTGTGGGGAATGCTGAATTTGCCGTTGATGCGTATGAGCCGCAGCCAAAGTGCTGATTTCAGCATATTTCAGCAGAGCAGAAACTCAGGTTGTCAGCTGTCACACTGCAGCTGATCTGCAACGGGCAACTGCCCTGATCAAGGGGTCAAGTTCGGCCAAGAGCCCCTCAGTAGTGAGCCGCTACGCCGCTCGCCCAGCATTTTCTGCCTACCATTTAATTTGTTTCTGCACACACAGTAGAACACAGAGGGTCATGAGTGGTCATCTTGTAAATGAGTGGTCATCTTGCAAAAAACTGGAGGCAAGCAGAATACGCCTTTCCTCATGTGTGACCGAAGCCTCAGTCTCAAGAGGACATGAGCTGTGCACAGTCTTGGACAAGAAAATCCTGTGAGCCCTAGCAGCAGCCAGAAAGCACCAGTGAATGATGCAACCCCCCAAAATTGAAACAAATGAAGAGGATAGATGCGACCTGAGCGAATGGTCTTTGGAACTGGCAGGAAGCCCAAAACATCGCAAGTCTAGGTTGAACGACCGCTCCTGGTCAACGGTAAGAAATGCGATCTACGGCTTTATGTGTGCCTTGGAATCGAGCGGTGTAAATGGGCCTGAGCAGAGGGCAGGGTGCATTGAGCGTGACGCAGACTTCGAGTAAATAACGCAAAGTTTTGCAACGTGTCGGGAGGTATACAGTAGTGGTAGCGCACTTTCCGTATTCGTGTGTAGTAGTTGCTTGTGTGGGTCGCCGTCCTGATTTTCACCGGTATGAGCAGGCTTGTGACCTCATTTGGAAGCGGCGGTCACGGAATTGCAGCTACTGCAGAGGAATCCTGGCCGCACTGGGACCATGCCCAGGATCGGAGTCACTGTTACAGACCATAGACAGTGCCACTTTGGACGCAAGGGCAAATTGTCAACAAGCATAGGCAATGTCAAGGATGCGCTTGCCCAATGATGGGAACTTGACATTCAGACGGGAGAAAGAATCAAACGATTTGGAGGTCCAACTTGGATGTAGCCAACATGCGGCTTCTACTGCCCACTCCTGCACGACAGAGACCTCGTTCCTAATCGCGACCTCAGCCTATCATGTCTTACAGTCAAGCATGATGGCTGGATGGGAGGTGATGTGGTCTGCTGCTCACTGAGGATTCCACTCCCGAGATGGCCACCGATCTGAAAGCCACTGGAGCCGAGAAGCCGGTTTTGGGGTTGTTGACAAGGGGCATAATTAGGATCTGGAAGGGTCTCACTGCAGCTGCTCCGCTCCAAGCTCACTACTCCAGAGTTATCTGAGGCCTACATCTTCTCTGAAGGCCTCGTTCGGTTTGCAAGTCAGCCGTTTGCCATGGCGGCTGCTTCTCTTCACAATCCTTGCATCCACCTCACCAACAACGAGGCGCGAGAGTTGGCACGAACTCTTCTTCTGCCGCCAGCTACACGTGGCTACGTGTCGCGGTTTGCACTTATAAGTTCCTAAGCATTCTAAAGCAGGCCAACCGTTTACATCAGAGGCTGTCGTAGCATATTGTGGTGCAGTGCTTCGTCCCTAAGTGAAATGTGAACCACCCATGGAAACAACAACAACTGTTCTTGGCGCACTGACTTTTCTGGCTGTTTGTTGCAGGTCAATGCGTACCTTGATCAGCAATAGCATTGTTCCATCATGCTGTGACTGTCAGTAGGCACCTCAAAGTCAGGCAGAGCATTTTCTGATCCGTAAAACGTCGCGGCGACGTTTTTTCTGGTTCTTTGGTGGCTGCCCTCTGTTGGGATTGCATTTGCTGCCCCTACTTGTACAATTGCTGCGCGAACAACTTTTACAGCTTTAGCGGCACACTCTAAAAGTTATGGATGGTGCAGGTGGGAAGCCAGTGGTGACTTGTCCTTTGTAACATTCTTACAAGAAGCTCTGAAGCCCTGCATTTAGCATTGCAGAGGCGAAACGCACATGGACCCTGCCTCGGGAACTGGAGCCTGTCCAGCTTGCTTGCATGGCTCAGTGTCTCGCCTGTACATGATTTCGGATCCGCCCTTGGATTGGAGGCCCCTCATCTGTCCCAAGGTATGCCAAGCCTAGGAGTTTCCTTTTGAGTCCTTACTTAGAGCACCAAAGCAAGGTGCCCACCCAGAGCCAGGACGACCAGATGCTTCGGACGCGTGGCTTTGAAAGCCACTGTGCACTGGGCGTTGTGTCGCCAAATTTGAAATCACAGAGTCTCATAGCCCTTAATTAAGCTCTTCATTTCTAGAGATTGTGCAGCGTCCAATCCTGGAAGCGCTCTGCATCGTTCCCAACAGTGAAGCTGCATCACGTCTGGCGAATGGAAAGCCACATAACACTGTGCTTAAGGAAGTGTGGCAGCGGATCCGTGCACTTGCATGGGATGTGCTGCAAGCACCAAGGCAGGCAGCTTGTAGGATTGTTGGGCCAATCTAGACTCTGGCTGTAGCTCTTTCAATTCGTGAGCGTAAGCTTGTGCAAGAGTTCGGAAAGTTTTTTGCTCATGTCGCAGCAATGCTGGAAGTCACAGGGAAGGGCGTGTCCGGTTACGACCAGCCGCGTTCCTTGAAAGTCTCGCCGCCTGGGAGCTTTCGGATCCTTCTGACACATCCAAGAACACCAACAGTCACCAGCGTGGAGGCGAGGAGCTGGTCGCCACGATTGTAGTTGCTCCTTCTCGTGTTCCAAAAGACAGAGGCAAGTGGATGGTCCTGATGGCACATGCTCGTATCTCGTCTTTTTTGTCCTCATGTTGTGTCTTGTTGACGCGTACTCCTGTCCCATCCTCATGCCGGATCTCCTGCGATTGTCATGTGAGTCGCGGTCAGAATTACCGTTTACTTCATTTAGTCTAGGCGGTAGTTGTTTCGCAAAAATCCCCAAGATCGATAGGGGACGTCCTGAAACTATAGGCTTATTTGATTTAAGCTAGGGTTAAGAGAAGATCCCCGAAACGTGGAAATCAATAGGGACGCCCTAATTCAAAAACCAGGAGAGAACAAACAAGTAATTTTGCCGCCGCCTCATGTCCTCATGTTGTCGTAGTTTCGTGCCTTCATGTCCTTTGTTCATGTTCGCGTGGCGTGCTCGTTCACGTGTGCGGCTTCTATCAAATTAGTTTGATTTTAGTTTGATTTCGGCTTGTCCGTCAGCCTTTGCTGTCCTGCAGTGTTCGGAGTTGCATATTCAAGCGTGCATTGAAGGTTTACGTACATGTACCTCATCCCAATCCCAGCAGCACCATAATATTAGAACAATATTAGTTTTTGGTGTGATCTGCGCCCCGGAAGGGTAAGATCCTGTACTCAAAATGGCACTGGAACACCAGCGCCCTGAACAAATCAGCTTCCACGCGCATACCCTTATTGCAAAAGCATTGCGTGCCTGATTGACAGTACATCCCATTCTCGTAAACATGGGACCAGCATCGAAACTTCTCAACCATAAGCTCTCTGCTAGTGAAATCCGAAGCCTGAAGCAACTCTCCTTTTGCAGGTCAGCCATGTTGTGTTTGGTTACGAGCTGCCTTGAGAAAACAGGGCTCAGTGGGTTGTGAACCCAGTTAGAGCCGGCGTGGAGATGCATTGTCGTTGATCCTCTCCGTTTCGTGTCTCTGGGCGTCGGATTGAGAAATAGATTCATGAAACCATCCGCTGCTTCTCCGTGGTGCTTTCACCAGAGCGCCCCACACGAGTGCAGACCCGTAGTCGTTTGTGACTGGTCCGTGTCTGCACCTTGTCCTTGCGTGGGTGTCATCCGCGAGATAATCCGGGGCACTCCGTCATACCACACACAGCACAGGCCAGGACAAGGACAGAACAAGAATATTAAGCTCGCTGAAGCTGCTAGATCTGTATCTAGACTGGCTTTTTGCAGCAGGTCCTTGATCGCACATGCTATGACTCAGCTTCCTCATGGAGCAGATGGAAAGTGTTTTGAGCTGCTGGGCACTGCAAGAGACTGCCTTACTGCGATGCATGATCTGAACGCATGCGTGGCATGTCATCACAGTGAAGGACTGCGACTGCATGGAATGTAGATCTAGAGCATCTAGAGAAGACTTGGGAAAGAGTTCTGTCGTAGTGGAGCATGGCTTTGGATGGGCCGTTGACGTGCCCTCGGTTCTAGGTTCAGTCTAGAGTCTAGGTTTGCGTTGTGCGAATTTGTGTTGCGATTTGGCTGCTCTTTGGCGCGCGTATTCCAACTAGAGTTTGATGCTGCTGCAACTTCTGGCTAGGTTGTTTGGCTTTGATGTCCTGCTGGACGTGCCTTGGCTGCAAGAGTTCCTACATTTATCCTGCTCTGTATTTGCTAAGCATGCAACCCCTCTCATGGCCCAGAGCCTGTGGGCGCCAAGGAGCAGCTATGGCCATGGCTATGCGAGGTTGGCTTGTGCCCAAAATGCGGTGTATTCAGCAGTGTGACCTCGGGAAGGAAGAACAGCATCCAGTGAAACTATGAGGTGTTGAAGGGTCGTGATGCACGCGTGGGGATGGAGGTTTCTGAGGTCATGGGTTGGACTCTCTAGTTAAGTCTATGAGAGTTAGAGAGCCGTGCAGACGATCACCGTGTATTGTCCAAGCTGAAACAGTGGAAGCGTCTAGCCAAAAACTCTTTCAAGCCCAACCCTGACCACCTCAGCGTTTGACAGAGGAACCTTGCTTCTTTGCGGAAAATACACCTGCAAGCCATGCCAGGTCAATGGCATGCCCTCCCTGGGTGTGGGTGGCGAAATAGACCTAACTGTGCGGGACTTGGCTTTGCCCCAGCTGTGATTTTAACAGCTTTGCAGATGATGATGGCGCAGGCACAAAGTTGGGAAAGGCCTGTAGGAGGGATTTAGAGTGCGAGAAGCTTGGAGGTGCAAGATGGCAGAATGATTTGTAGATGGAAGCGTTGGAAAGCGTGCAAAGGCGCAGCTCTGTTTGGATGCAGTCAAGCAGTCAATCGTGCTTTGATGTGAAGCTGAAGCTGCCGTAGGTGCACGAATGCTAGCTCTTTATTCTCAAAGTCTTTGTGTATCAGATCTGATCCTGGAAGAAGTAGGAAGACGACCCATTCGCCCCAACACAGGTCGACACAGCTATGCTGACGGCCATGTTTGCGCTTGTGTTGGACAAGGTGCTTGTATTGCGGGGCTAAACAAAACAGTCGGAAGGCCATAAAGGCACGGAAGCTTGCTGAATATGCTGCAGACACAAATTCTTGGTTTGCTTTTTCTGGTGGCCTTCGAACTGAGGTGCCTGAGGTAGCTGCACGTGGAGATCCTGCTGAAGCATTTGAGCTTCTCACCCCTCCTGCGGCTTCACCGTCTGCTGCGCAGTCTCAGGACAAAGCTAGGGCTGTGTTGGCAGACTTGGCGGTTAAAAACGCTTTCTGTCTCCGTCAGACATGTGTTTTGCCACCATAGGTCTCAAAGTGTGCAGCATGCGCTGATGGCATACATTATTGGAGCGCATACGAGCATTGGACTTTGCCGAATCCGTCTTGCATTTATCCTAGCTGCTGAGGGGCTCAAGTGTGGGGCCGTGCTGTAGGTCCCCGTGGCCGCCAGCGCTTGCAAGATGCAAGCGGGCCCGTGCATAGCTAGGCCCGCAGGGCCTGGCCGTGCGCCTTCTTCAACGTACCTTGGCCGGCAGGAGGCAGCCGCTGATGTGGCTGGCCAAGAACGTGCTCGAAATTCCTTGACTCCACGTTTTGGGCACTGCCTGGTGTTGGTGGGGTCAATGTTCAAATTATCTGAAATGTTGTGCAGAAGCCGCACCGGCCCGGGAGATCGACGCAGAAGCAGACTGCAAGGATGTCTGGCGGGCCATGCGTGCTTCCAGGCGCTGCAGCACCGCAGAAGGCCAATAGCCGGAGGCGAAGCGCAGCCAGGCGCCACAACGATGCAGGAGGATCGTACAAGTATGAGGAGAGCTCGACGCTTGTTGAAAGCTGGGGCGAGCGTAGTGATGGTTTTGATCTCGTTGCTCTATGCCACCAGCTTCGTTGAGGGGTGCATGCACAAGCTCT